AGAGACTAGGAGCGGACATTTTGTCTAACCAAAGAATATCTCGTGCATGGGAACTGATAAGTCTTGGCCAGTCCCAGTTTCTCAGGCTGCAGGCAGAGCATTTTGGGGGAAGCCCACCCGGGCTCTTTATGTGATTAGCTGTGCTAATACCCACCAGTGACCTCCCTTTCAGGCTGGGAGGCAACAATGGGCCTGGCTTTTGTTAGCAGAAGAACAAAATGCCACCTTTTTACAGCCCTGCAATCACTGCACTCATCCCTTTTCATCTTTTTCAAATATACGCCCTTCCTTGCCAGCAAAGTTGCTTAACCCTTCGCTGGACATGGTTTTACATCTTCTTCACTTATTCTCTTTTCAAAATGAACATTTTCTCCATGTTCAACTGGCCGACTGCACTGAAAAAGCCATGGCTGGAGAGTCTGGGGTGCTGGTAGAAGTGTAAAAATATGGAATGATTATGCAAACACTGATTGGTCAACCAACGTGTTATGTTTGCTAAAGGAAAAGGATAGGCAACTTAGCACCAAGGACTCCATGTGACCCTGAGGCTTTCCTCTCTGGCTTCAAATGTGCCCCCAATCCCAAGAAAGCCACTGTACAACACATCCACTTTAAAAAATTTATCCTTTTAACTTTTTATCTTTAACTCCTTCCTCCCCAGTATGAACAAAAGAGGTTTTAGTAGAGGCCTCCCATTATTCTAAACTTCAGCTGCCCAGTCCAAGGAAACAGTCAAAGAGCTCTTTAAGTACAGTGGTACCTCGGGTTACATACGCTTCAGGTTACAGACTCTGCTAACCCAGAAATAGTGCTTCAGGTTAAGAACTTTGCTTCAGGATGAGAACAGAAATCGTGCTCTGGCGGCGCGGCGGCAGCGGGAGGCCCCATTAGCTAAAGTGGTGCTTCAGGTTAAGAACAGTTTCAGGTTAAGAACGGACCTCCGGAACGAATTAAGTACTTAACCTGAGGTACCACTGTACATATAAAGGATGGACCTCCACTACTATTCACACTGGGGAAGATTCAAAAGTCTTTGGATTATATTTTGGGAAAGAGAGCTGAAGTTACAGTATGTAGGTAAAGGAGCACTGAATAAGTTGCTCAATTGACAGAAACCAATGCTGCTGGTGTACTTTAGCCCTTGCTGACTAATTAAAGGGGGTGGGTATTCCCACATAAGAAGGCCCTGGGGCTGCATTCAAGTTGTTATAGGGTTCACAGTATGTGTTCAGTAGGAGCTGGAGATAACAAACCTTGTCAGTGCCAGTATTATAACTGGTTAAAAAAAACCACACACCCCAATATAATTAAGAATTACTGAACTGGATACTGTCCCCCCCACCACACAAATAAAATTTTGATCTTTTTCCCGCAGTTGAGTCTCATGGAAGAAAGAAATGAAATGAAAACGAAAGTGAAAACTGCAAAATATATCCAATGAATTGTTTTTTAATTGACTACATTATGCCTTATAAGCTTATAGTAATTTCTGATAATTGTATTCTGCAGTTGTTGTTTTAAGAAAAGCATTGTGGCACTGCTAGGGATGGGCACATCTGTCACTTTCATTTTCTCTCGGTTTCTCATTTTTTCAATCTTAGATTCAGTTTCCACATCACTTTTTTTTTAAAAAAAATCCTTATGGAGGCTCTTCAGAATTTCAGTGCGAATTTCTCCAAATATACACATTTTTGCTAGCAATTTATAGTGCATTTCTGTATGCTATTTTTCACTAATATATGCATTTTTATGCACACTTTACCTAGCATGTGCATTTGTGTACACATTACTTGGTGGGAGAACTGTACTGCAATATTGGAGAAGCGAGAATTTCAAAGAACTCAACGAAATGTCTCTCCCATCCCTAAACACTACCAATAATGAAGTAATTTTCTTCAGCAGTAGTAGACCCCAATTCTTATACACATTAAAGGGCTGCATTGAACCCCCAGGTCACCAACTGGCTACCCTGATCATAGGGGCATGTGTGTGCCCCAAGAGCTCATAAAGTGAGCTAATGAGAAATTCCCCGCCACTGGATTACAAGATTAAAAGAGTAAGACTCCAGTTCTTACTTGAACATCTGAACTCCAGTCAGGGATAAAACCCAGAGCTTCTGTGTTGTTATTTTTTTATTCCTAGCTGGCATTACCCTTCTAAGGACTCGTAAGTCAGTGTTGTGGGGAAGCTGGACGGAATCCGTCCTCCAAGTGTGTCTTGGACACACAGCTGACTGGATGTGTCAGTTATGTTCCAAATGGGTTTTTGCAGGTCAAGATTCTGTCGGCAGTGAGAGCACACGCTATTTTTAGACAGGATAAGGTCACAGCGCTTTTAGAGACAGTGAGGTCTGCAATAAAACCTATTGATCAGACTCTGGAACTGCTGCTCCAGAGAGACATGTAGATTGAAACAGAAATTGCCTGGCCGTTTTCTCCACAGACTCGGTGGGTAAAAGCTTGTTGGTCTTAACATCTTTCAGGACACACACACACACACACACACACACACACACACAGACACACAAGAATCAGCCACACACATATTATTTTGGTCCACTTAACCAGATGCAAGAAGCAGGAAAAAAAGAAGAGGGGAAGAGGGCAGTAGGAATGGAGAGGGAAAAGACAAGAGATTTAGAAAATGTTGTGGTCTTGAGCTGAGCACCCAAGCATGGCTGTTCAACAGCAACAAGTGGAACCATAACTCAGACACCAAGGCCAATGAACGCAAAACACTGCACAAAAAGAGAGCACTGGTTCATCAGCAGCCTGCTAACACGCACAATCCCTCTGTCTGTCACATCTCCGTACCTTTGGACTAAGTCACTGTCATTGGACAAGCAATCAGAAGGTAAAAACTGCCACTCAAAGTCCATTGAGCCCCACAGCCTGCTTCCAAAAAAAGAAGGAAAAGGAAAGTACTGTAAGAGAGTATAAAGCAGAGAAAAAGCAGTTTACAATCACACAGTTGTGTGCAGTCCATCCATCTCTTACATTACACCTCCCTAAAGGGAACTGTTAACATTGGATTATGATAAAATTTCTTATACCTGTAGGACTTTCTAGACAAACAGTAACATTTCTCCACATTTCCTTCTGGTTTGCTGTATGTGACACCCAACTAAACATCAGAACCAGGCCAGTATCTTTTCTTAATTTAGGAAGATTTGCAGTGTACACCAAACACCAAAATGCAGAAACCTGAATTAGTCTGCTATAAGCCTTAGCCGGATATTATTAATTTATAATATGCAAAATGGACACTGACTATCTCTTGGCCTTGTCTACATCAGGTGGCACTGATAGTGAATACTGTGAGTGAGTGAATGAATGAATGAATGAATGAAGGCCAAACAACCAGCATACTAAAACCAGAATTTCTGTATAGTTCTTTACAAAAATGATAAAAACGATCAGAGTGGAATTTAGTAGACTTAAAGTGTGTATTCAGGGAAATAAGAATAGTGAATACTAAAGTTTAATCTAACCCTATGTCACAGGGTTGCTGTAAGGAGAAAGAAAAGGAAGAACCATCTACACCCCCACGGTAAGCTCCTTGGAAAAGAACAAAAACAGGGGTGGGGAACTGAATCTGGCAATCCTCCAATGGCCACTTTTGGCAGTGGGGCAGGGCTACCCACCTATCAATCAGTTGGATTTAGTAAAATGTTAGAATTTAAGCAAACCCCCCCCCCCAAATTCTTGGGTCTAATGGGGGATGGAGTTTAAGGTAGTTTTTCCGTGTTCAGGAAACTGCCTGGCAGAAGAGCCATCAAGAAGTAATTACTGGAATGGCTGAGCCATTAATAAGGGTCAATGACTCTGGACTGGACAGAAAATGGGCAAAGCCCCTCCCAGAGGTGAGAGATAGCAGAAACAAAAGCCCAAATTTTCAGGAGGGAGGGGCAGAATTGCAGTGGGCAACGAGGTAAGCAAATAGGAAAAAAGTGTCACTTTTGCAAGCTGAAGGAGGGGGCATGAGGCAGGCAGTCTAGTTTATGCTACAGAGAGGGTCAGACATGATGTTTGGGGTCTCTTGGAATCCGAGGCTGCAGCAATGGAAGGAACAGGATCTTCTCAGGATGCGAATGCTCTGCACTCTCCCCATCTAGGTTCAGGTTGTATATATGTGTAAATAAACCATATATCATACAAACACCGCAGTCTCTGCTGTATCGCTTTGTTCCAAAAGGAAACACAAACCCTGGTAAATGTGCCTGGTACCCCAGGAATCTCCCATCACTCAAAGCTTGTGGCTGTGTGTAGCACTATCATTATTCTATAAGTTAGACACTTGTTTAAACAAACTAGTAAGTTAAATAAATATAATACCTCTGGTTTTTTACTCAATCCAAGGAGGAGATCTGAGCAAAAATCCATAACATAACAAATTCCTAGTGCCATAAAAGTCAGCCATCGATAATCTTCAACTTTTAAGTCAATGACCCACTCCCAAACACCTCACCATTATGCAAGGCACTTTCCCGTTTAGAAGGAGATTTTCGCAACCTTGGGAGGAGGGGAGAGAGAGAGAGAGAGAGTGGGAAAGTGAAGTGCATCTTTATTTATCATCTACTCTGCTCTTCCAGCTTAGTTCACAAACCAAATATGCCACAGTAAACATAATCCATATATCAAACGGAGACACAGCTGACCCCATTAGCTACTCAAGGCTGTCCTAGTAAGAATGGTTGACCGTACACGGACAATAGAGTCGCTAGGACAGTTACACAATAATGCGAAGAACCATAATTATAATCATAATAATTTTTAAAAGAGGAAAGGAGAAAGGCTACATAGGGGAAACTCTCAGATTCATCTTTGAATGCAATGTTCTTTGAATAGCTTCCATTTTGGATTTTATCTATGGACAATAACATTATCTAAACTCAACTGTTCATGAAATAATACAATACATACAAATTAAAGCATGCAGCACCATTACCCGCTTTAGCTGACATTCCATGCAGGTATGAAATTTTTCTTTTACTTTTTTTTAGTAGGCATGATAGGATGAAAAATCTGAATGGGGAATTAGTTATATGCCAAGTGAAGTTACAAATGCAGGGACAACAACAACAACCATGCATTTCAGCTGAAAGCAACACAATGAAAGAAAAAATAAACAGCCTCAGCTATTCAAAAATATACATTCTGAAAAGTATTCCCTTACTAAGAAGGCAAGACCTCCATTCCTAGGGCAATTTCTATTGCCTTCACTGACTTTTTTCTTCACTGATTTGTTTTTTGCACTGTATTATCAACATCAATAAAAGTCTCCGTTTCCTAATTTATTTTGCTGTTCCAAATTTCTCCAATTTTATTTTAACTTTTTTTAAAAAAAGAAAGAGAGAGAAAGCAAACAACAATTTGGTTTCCTCCAGACTGACGTTTGTTCTTTAAAGAAAATGGCAGGGCAAAGGCAAAACCGCTTGAGCCCCTGCCTAGAAAGCACCTGACAAATGGAAGTGTGGACAAAGTAAATATGATAGAAAACATAAGAGAAATATTGTCAGGAAGAAGTTAAGTACATATGTGGGTAAGTGGGCCAGTAAATTGACAAATCACAGCTGCTAAGACTGTGACGTGCTTGTGAGATAGTTTTATTGTTTATTACATATTAAATTTATATACCTCCCTTCTTCTGAAGATCTCAGGGCTGTTCACAAGACAAAAAAAAATACAGGATAAAAGTACAAAATAAACAGTTGAAACAAAAACAAAATGAAAATATAACACACCCACCCCACCAACAATGTTTTGCCAGAATATTTTACCAGAACATTCCTATTCTGCATTTGCAAGTGGTTGAAAAGCATACTGCTATAGCTAAGGGCCTTCTCGGTAGTGGCACCAGCCCTTTGCAATACCCTCCCATCAGATGTCAAGGAAATAAACAACTATCTGACTTTTAGAAGACATCTGAAGGCAGCCTTGTTTTGTTGTTTAGATGTGTCTGACTCTTTGTGACCCCATGGACCAGAGCATGCCAGGCACTCCTGTCTTCCACTGCCTCCCGCAGCTTGGTCAAACTCATGTTCGTAGCTTCGAGAACACTGTCCAACCATCTCGTCCTCTGTCGTCCCCTTCTCCTTGTGCCCTCCATCTTTCCCAACATCAGGGACTTTTCCGGGGAGTCTTCTCTTCTCATGAGGTGGCCAAAGTATTGGAGCCTCAGCTTCACAATCTGTCCTTCCAGTGAGCACTCAGGGCTGATTTTCTTAAGAATGGATGGGTTTGACCTTCTTGCAGTCCATGGGACTCCCAAGAGTCTCCTCCAGCACCATAATTCAAAAGCATCAATTCTTCAGCGATCAGCCTTCTTTATGGTCCAGCTCTCACTTCTATACATTACTGGGAAAACCATAGCTTTAACTATACGGACATTTGTTGGCAAGGAGGTGTCTCTGCCTTTTAAGATGATGTCTAGGTCTGTCATTGCTTTTCTCCCATGAAGCAGGCATCTTTTAATTTCGTGACTGCCATCACCATCGGCAGTGATCGTGGAGCCCAAAAAAGTAAAATCTCTCACTGCCTCCATTTCTTCCCCTTCTATTTGCCAGGAGGTGGTGGGACTAGCGGCCATGATCTTAGTTTTTTTAATGTTGAGCTTCAGACCATATTTTGCACTCTCCTCTTTCACCCTCATTAAAAGGTTCTTTAATTCCTCCTCACTTTCTGCCATCAAGGTTGTGTCATCTCCTTATCTCAGGTTGCTGATATTTCTTCCGGCAATCTTAATTCCAGTTTGGGATTCATCCAGCCCAGCCTTTCAAATGATGAATTCTGCATATGTTAAATTAACAGGGAGACAATATGCAGCCTTGTCGTACTTCTTTCCCAGTTTTGAACCAATCAGTTGTTCCATATCCAGTTCTAACTGTAGCTTCTTGTCCCACATAGAGATTTCTCAGAAGACAGATGAGGTGATCAGGCACTCCCATTTCTTTAAGAACTTGCCATAGTTTGCTGTGGTCGACACAGTCAAAGGCTTTTGCATAGTCAATGAAGCAGAAGTAGATGTTTTTCTGGAACTCTCTAGCTTTCTCCATAATCCAGCACATGTTTGCAATTTGGTCTCTGGTTCCTCTGCCCCTTCATCATAGATCACTGCCTTGTCGTGGCGAAGGGGCTTGAATAACTCAGAGAAGCTATGAGCTATGCTGTGCAGGGCCACCCAAGACGGACAGGTCATATTGGAGAGTTTTGACCAAACGTGATCCACCTGGAGCAGGAACCGGCAAGCCACTCCAGTATCCCTGCCAAGAAAACTCCATGGACAAAGACAACAGCCCTTTTATGAGTAGTTTTTAATATTTGATGTTTTATCATATTTTTTATATTCTGTTGGAAGCCACCCAGATGGGTGGAGTATAAATAATAATAATATGTTGTTGTAGTAGTAATATTATTATTACTACTATTATTCCTGAACATACAGGCTCAAGTCTCACCCGACAGCAATGTGGGGTCGCTTTTGTTCTAGACTGAATGACTATGGTAGCAATTACTGAGATGCAGTTTTACAACCTGAAAGGCACGGTATAAATGCATTTTTAGCTGTTTTCAACCTCAGTTTGTGGCAGATTGTCAGTCCAAGGAAATCTTCAATAAAACTGCACTAAAACTCAAGAGTGAGTAGGTGGAGTGAATATATATTTAGATATTTGGGGAGACAGGTAACAAATTGAGATGATGCTTTAATATGAATTTTAAAGCTCATATGACTTCCTTCTCATATATGAGAAGATTGCACTGGTCTAGGTAACAGATTACCAGGGCACGGACTAGACTTTTATGTGATTTTGTGAATGCCATGTGCAGATTTAAAAAGTTGTCTTTCTGAAGAAGTGCTGGCAGTGAGTTAAATCAAACGTACAATGAGAATAGTAGGACTAACAAGATCTTCTTACTGAATGAGGGTGAACCAGAGAAGTCATTTCACTTTTTGGTGCTCGAGGGATGCTTGCTTCTGCTCCGAACCTGCACTCTAAAGCAACTGTGGCAGGTGGATAACTATGGAATAGCTCAACTTCTTTTTTATGTCCCTCAGCAACTCTGCTTTCTCAGGCTTCCACAGCCAAGCCCGTGGTGAACACTGTTGCATTAACTTTGAAGGGATCAGAAGTTTCAGAGCACGGGCTATTCAGGATTTGTGCACATGTTGAACAAAATCTAGGAACGCCTCCCAAACTGAGCCTTCTAACTAAGGAATGCAAAATGGAACGTGGGAGAAAGGCACAGAAGGGTTTCAAGAACCTGGGAGGCCATAATGTATGGTTAATAGCTATTTATTTATTTATTTACTTACTTACTTACTTACTTACTCGTTTCTAAAGACTTTGCCTCCTCATCCCTATGTCTCAAGTCAGGTGGTTCTCAGGTAGGGGGATAAAGCATGCAGCCACTAGTCTGCAATTGTAAAATGAAGCTCAAATGAAAACAGACCTGTAAACCTCAAGGACTAGTCATCCAAACCAGTTCCAAGTAGAAAAGTTTCTGAAACATGTCCCAGCTCAAAACCGGACTACGCTCCTTCCAGGCCACACTGCTGTGTGAGTCATGTGGCTCGCACAAGAGCACGCCTAACATGCAGTGTGAGCGAGAATTCTCCTACCTCTCATCTCCCCTGCAGCCCCCAAATTCTGCTCTGAAGGGTTGGGGGACTGATTTTGGGGACCCCACAGCAGTTTGGAGGAGGGAGAACAGAAAGTGGAAGCTCCATTGCAAGATAACATTACTGTTGTGCAAGCAGTTGAACATTACTGGATGTCACCCAATGAGGTGTGCTGATTACAGTCCTACATAATCTACTTATTTTTAACCATGATCCTGAGAGTATGCTTATGGTATTAATTTTTTTTTATAAAACAGAGTGCACATTTAATAGTTAAATTTTATGTAATCTGTTTTAATTGATCCTGCATATCCCCTCTTGCTTAAGGTTGGACTCTGATGAGCCTCTGTGAAAAAGGAATTCCATACCTACTGGCCAGGAAACATCACAGGCTATTTCTTTCTATATTAACATCTAGACTATGAGCTCAATATTATTACAGAGGTCCACTAGACTTCAAGTCCGAGAAGATAAGCACAGCAAATGCAACGTACATTTCAACGTACTGTATAAGGTGGAGTCATTAAGATTAATCAAAAATGCTTATCAAAAATGTTTCATTCCTTTGTGATTAAAACCAGAAAACATCCCATGAGAAAATATATTTCTTCCTCCCCACCCCCCTTTATTTGGTTTAAAGTGTGGTATTTCTTTCCTTAGCTGTATAAATATTTAATAGTCAGAAATTTTGTTTCAAGCCGGATAGCATATTTTGGTCAGCAGCAGCCAACTGGAAAACATTTGCTTTCTACTACAGATTTACAAAATTCATGAATGGGCAAGCGCAACGAATTCTTGGTGCTGTTGACAAACTCACAAAAAAAATGAGTATAGAGACAGTAGTTGCTAATGCTGTTTGTTTCATGCAGAAAAACAAAGGGCAATTCATTTCTATTTTATCATAACGGGACCAGTAACCCTTAGCCATGATAGGTGGGAATGTCACATGTCCACAGGCAGTAGACCTCTGATTTGCAAAAGTCATGTGAAAGCAAGAGGAAGAGCTGTCTCCATCTTGCCCAGCCTGCTGCACACTCTTAAGAGACAGAATATTGTGCTAGATACTGTACATCTTTGTGTCTGATGCATGCATGAATGCTAGCCCTATTCACACGTATGTAATTAATAAAAATTTTAATTGTAACCAAAAAAAAAAAAAAATTCTACACCTCGATTACAAATTTCACCAAAGAATGTTGCTTCTGTTCTAATGCACAGACTGCCCCACTTGGCCTCCCTTGATTTAGAAAATGCATATTCATTGGTGTAGAATTGTCTCCCTTTATAGCCACAGTAGTCTTAGGCAGAATGACTAAGGAGCAACCACAGGATTCTGTCTGTTAAAAGAAAAGAAAAAGTAATGTGGGGGTAATTAAATGCATATTTATAATTAGAACTTAATAATTTGCATCAGGGACAAACGAACCCTGATTCCAATCTGTAGCACATTTAGATTTGCCTGAAGATAGTATAATTTGATGTTTTATAGCCTTCCACTCTCCCAGATAAGGAAGTAATACAGTTGTCTTTTTAAAGCTCTGTGTGTGTGTGTGTGTGTGTGTGTGCGCGCGCACACTAAGGAGAAGCTTGCAATGAAAATGTTTGACAACGCAAAAGCAGCCATAAATTACATGACAACTGTGTAAAAGTCATGATGAAACAAATAAAGAGCTGACCTATAATGCATCTGATTCATTGTGGCGTACAGAACTCTCCAACTCTGATGTCTGTGCGGCAAACTCCTTCTTAGAAACAGAACTACTTAGCACGGAGAGAACTGTAAATTATCGTGAGTCAACAGCATTGATTTTTAGTCGACATTTCAATCAGTTTGAACTAGAAATACTACACCGCTCATCTGGCAGCCTCTTAAGCGAAGCTGCCTGCTCCTCTCTGGAGCCCTTTTCTTCACTTACAGCGCTCTTTAAATCCCCCATTGTTTCCACAGTACAATATTTATTGTGGAATCTCCAGGCCCAGGTACTTGACCTGGAGGTCGCTGGCTCATCTCAAGGGACCTTCTAAGTTAACTTTGCTGAGCTTGAAAGTCACCCAAATGCAGAAAATGAGAGTGTGGGCGTGGTTAGCCAGGCAGGGGCCCTTGATCTGAGAGGGAAAGAATCACTGCATACGACAAGCTCAGCTTGCCAGCACATATGTTAAGTAACTGCATGTGAAAAACCTATAAAGCCACACAGCATTCTGGTAGTCTGGGCATATGACTGCATTCCTATGTGTCAGCCTTAGTCCTATGTGGCTATTCCTTTTCCTCAGCTACAAAAAAAATGTGAGAAGGGTGGGGCCTGTTGCGCTGCCAAGCTCCGCCCCCTCTGGTGCTTCATTTGTCCAGAGTTTAGATTCCTCCAAGAATGGGTGGGCAAATACCATATTGACAAAAATCTAACTTGACATTGAATATAATGTGAACCTCGATTTTCAAAACCTTGAAACCAAAAATGTGCACCCTAATTTTCGCAACATAATACGGCCAAAAAAGTGCATATTATGGAGACTCCAATTTAAACCCACTATGAAGAGCTTTATTTGGCAAAGTTGTTGAGCTTTTTGCAAAATCTCCAGATTCCTGAAAATATGGCAGCCATAATGGAGAAGGCTGTCTAAACAGAGGTGGAATCAGATAAAAGTCCCAAAGAATGTTTAAATTCAACTCCTGTATAAAAAGATGGACTATTTTTCAAAAAGGTTTCAGCCCTGAACAGTTTCTGGTTCGAGTGCTGAGGGCAACTTCAAACATTGCTTGGGCACACCTCTCCCCTTGCGAAGTAGAAACAGCAAATGTTTCCCAATCTCACAGGGGAAAACAAAGAAAGTGAATGTTTATGAAGATGTTGGCAGAAGACTGGAAAACAAGACACTATGCTAGGAACTTTCATTCAGCCAAAACATTGGAATGACTGCATACTAAGCC